ACATTCAAGTTAAGATAATAGAAATACTTACTTGAGAATTTATTAGGTTAGGCAATGCCACACCAAGGCAGGTGGTCCTAGGTTGTGTAAGAAAGCAATCTGAGTAAGCCAGTCAGTAAGCAGAATTCCTCTGTGAGCACTGCTTCAGTTTCTGCTCCAGGTTCCTGCCTTGAGTTTCCTCCAACATGGTTTTGGTCAGTGTTTTTATCATGTCAGTAGAAAGCAAAGTAGGATACCTGCTAAAATTAGTATTGAAAAGAATAACACTGGGACTGGAGAGATACCTCAGTAGGCAAAGTGCTTGCTCTGCAACCACAAGGCCCTGATATTGCGCCCCCCCCCCCAATCCACATAAAAGCCATGTATATAGTATGTATGCGGTGTCTACCTGTAAATCTCAGTGCAGGATGGAAGGGGAGATAGGCACATCCGGGGGGCTCTCTGGCTATGCTCCGAAGGGGTGAGCTCCAAGTTCATGAGACCATGCCTCATCAAAATAAGGTGCAGAGTAATAGATGATAATATGAGTCAACCTCTGACCTTCATATGGGGACTTGCTGGTGAGTTCACCCTAATCCCTAAGTATGTATGTGCATGTGCATGTATGTAGATACACACACACACACACACACACACACACACACACACACACACACACACACACACACACACACACCCCTCCCTCCCTTCATACTCTCTTCTTAAAACCATTTTGAAAAATGCCACCAGTGGGCTTAAAAGGTGTTTGTAACCATTGAAGTGCTAGTAACGCCCATGTATTAGTGTTTTCCTATAAGTTTAAAGCTCTCTGTTTTGTAAGATAAGATTTATTTGAGCACTTACTGTGCTTGTGATTCAATAGTTAATGTTCAGTAATTATTGTATCATTATCCGTTAGGCTCTTAGAGGCCCTAGAGACCACCAAGCTTGCACTACTGGACCTCAACTTTATGCTCTGATAGAGCTTTAATTTGGATCTTACATGCCCTCCAAAGGTAAATGTGGTAAAGGCTTGGTTCTTAGGGTATTGTTGTCAGTAGGTGGTGGTACCTTTAAGTAAAGAGGTGGGGTTTAATGGGAGTTTCTTTTTTTAGGTCATTGAGATCATCGAATTGAAGGGGATAATGACACTCAGACCCCTTCCTCATCATCTTTTTAGCTTCTTGACCTTGGAAAGAGTGGTCTTGCTGTCATTATGGTGTTTTGTGTCTTGTCCAAAGCATTGGGGCTGGGATCTTGGACTGAAAACTTTTCTAAAAAAAGTGAGCCCAAATAGACCTTTCTCTGTGTAAGTTGATTATCTCACTTGTTTGATATATCCAGAAAGCTGACTGACACAGATTCCTTGTGTTGTATAGTCCATAGTACACTTGGGAGTGAGTGAAAATGTTAGAGGAAGTCAGTAGCTAAACAGGATAATATAAGCAATATAAGCCTCTTCTCAGCCATATTGACACTGATGTTGCTTTTTTCAGTGGCTTTCTTAAAATGTTTTATTTTATAAAAGGAACCTTTTTTGAGGGGGAAGGAGCTGGAACAAGAATTGTCCCTTTTAGAAACTAAAAAAACCGTTAAATGGCAAAAACAAATACCTCCACTTTTTACCCTCGTAAGGTCAGTGGATTCATGAGTCAGACCCTTGTCACTGGAGTGTACTGTTTTTCTTGTTGACTTTTATCCTAGTCTGCCAGTTCTTGGTGTTAGGGATGTATGCTCTAATGTTCTCTTTCTGTTCATAGGGACTGGATTCTTTTATTTTATTAGGAATATTTTTAAGTATTCAGAGGAGTTGCAACTATATTATTAGATATAGATATACCCACCACCAAATTCTCTGATTAACCATTTACAATATTTCCCTTATCATGTTACCATCTATTGAACACATATGTGAGCACATTGCCAATGTCATTACATTTTCCTGTATATTTCAGATTGCATGGTGTTAGCTGGAATTCAATATTTGTTGACAGTACCTTTTGATGAATAAATTCTGATATCATACAAGGAAATGACAAATTAGGATTATAAACATTTGATAAGTTTGCTCAATATTTCCTGTGTAGCTCAAACTTAGAGTAGTGGAAAATGCCATCACCCTGGAAAGTCTGCTCACACTACTTCCTAATATTTTTAGTTTACTAGTTTGTGGTTATATGTTTCTACTATAATAATTATATCATCTGATCTTTCTGAATTTTTCTATCATTACAAGAAGTTTGATGGCGGAAAATCAGGCAATCCAGAAATCTCTCGTCATAAAACTACAAAGATCTAATAGAAGTTAATAATGAAGTTGCAAATCCTAGTGATGGAGGAAGTCTCTGACAAAGCTTTGTGAGGAAGAGTTGTGTGGGAGTTCTGAGTGGGTTGAAGGAAGGAGGGACTTAATTATTCCCCACGTTTGTAGAGGTTTTACATTTAGCACTTTATTTAGATAAGCAAGTTGCTTGTCACTCTAGTATCTTTCAGTTTAGTTTTTCTTTCATCTGATCACTCTCTGAAGTAAGATAAGGAAATGAGGATGATAATGTTTACAGAGAAAGATACATATATATAGACAGTGGTAGAGAGGAGATCTAGAGGAGTAGGCACAGCAATTAAAGCCTTCATGATACCAGTTGGAGATGTCCACAGAGTCACAGGAAGGGCTGAAGAATAGTTGTTTGTGCCAAGGAAAAAAATAGTTTGAAAAATCTCTTTTCAAAGAAATCTTGTGAGGTAGATTGTAGTATATGAATCTTAATATCTATCTGATAAGCAAATCTCATAAACCTTATATGAATTAAATATGCTAGTAGCTTACTAAACATAAATTGGCTTTTTGCCAGAGAAGTAATATAATTAAATGTATAGATTGCACAAATCAAGAATGAGAAATATAAAGTGTTGTTAGCAATACATATATAATAGAAACATCAGTGTCAACACAATTTACTTAAAACACAATTTTATTTGTATGCGTTATCAGGTCTACATAACTGACTTAGTTAGGGTTTCTGTTGCTGTGATAAACACTATGACCAAAAGCAACATGAGGAGGACAGGGTTTATTTCATCTTGTGTCCTGTAGTCCTGGGGAGTCAGGGCAGGAACTCAAAGCAGGAACCTAGAAGCAGGAACTGATGGAAAGGCCATGGAGCAATACTGCTTACTGGGTTGCTCATGGCTTGCTCATCCTGCTTTCTTATAGTACCTAGGATCACTAGCCCAGTGGTTCCATCACCCATAGTGACCTTGGCTCTCAAACATCAATTATGAATCAACAAAATGCAACACAGACTTGTCTATAGGTCAGTCTTATGGAGGCATTTTCTCAATTGAAAGACCCTCTTCTCAAATGATTGTAGATTGTGTCAAGTTGACATGAAACTATTCAAGATAATAAAAACATGAAAAATTATCTAAAATTAATATAAAATGGTTTAATAAATTGGTTGTTTTTAATTTAGGGTGCTTAATTTTAATTTATTCAACATTGACAATATCTGCTTATGAAATGAATTTTTATACATATTTATTATCATAATGTAATAGTTGTGCATCTTTCCAAAACTTCTGATGATTCTTGTTTGATTCCTTTTTTTCTTTGCTGAGTGCTTCACTGTAGTACAGAATTAAAAGCTAAGAAGCCCCCAGTCTAGTATACTGTGAAATAACCTGTATTCAATAGACATGAACTTATCACGCAGTGTGTTTTACATTTATTTATTGCTTAGCCTTCTCACAGTCTGTGAGATGGTAGTAGGATATTAGTATCCTTGATTTATAGAGGATAGTTAATCGTCACACAGTTCATAATTGCAGAATTTACCACAATTTTTCTTGACTACTATGCCAAAGACTTACTTAAATTACTTTTATTGTTTTAAACTGTGTGAATGTGTGTGTCAGTGTGTGGGTCGGTACAATTATGTGCTGGTACCCTTGGAGGTCAGAGGCTTCAGTCTCCTGGAGATAAAGTTAGAGACAGTTATGAGCCTTCTAATGTGGGTGTTGGAATTGAACTCTGGTCCTGTAGAAGAGCAGTATCCATTCTTAACTGCTGAGCAAACTTCCTGTCCTATACCAAAGACTTCTCTTTTTGCCCATTCATGTGATAGAAGCTGCACTGTGTTAGTCAGGTACTGCCAGTTGCTACCACTGGCTTACTATCCAACATTTCAAAAACATGAGTTATTTCCTATTACTCATGCTAGAAGCCATGCCGCGATCTTTCTTGTCCCTTTCCTCAGTGGCTCACTTAGTGTTCACTAGTATAAGGAAGCAGTAGCTTTGAATTTTGTGTCATGCTTTGGTGGTCTGTTAATTCATCTTGTCTTTGGACTCAGTGTGTCATAGGACATTTTCTGGCATTCATAGCGTGAATTCTTTTTTTTTTTTTTTAATTTATGTTCATTGGTGTTTTGCCTGCATGTGTGTCTGTGTGAGGGTTGTCCAATCTCCTGGAACTAGAGTTACAGATAGTTGTGAGCTGTCATGTGGGTGCTGGGAATTGAACTCGGGTCCTCTGGAAGAGCAGCCAATGCTCTTAACCACTGAGCCATCTCTCCAGCCTAGAGTAAATTCTTATAGTTGATAGAAGGATGTTTAATTGCAAACACTGTATTAACCATTTTGCTCTACGTTTATATATTCCTAGTCTAGAAATTTAAGTTTGCACTTGGTAATTTAATAATATTTTTATGCTTTACTTGGGAAACAGCTTTGTCTTATGACTGTTTATTGCCTTTTCCTGTTGTTTCTGTTGCTTCAGAATTTTGAATAAAACAGTTTTAGCAATAGAGCAAAATAAAAAGTTTTGCCTAATGCCTATCTTACTCATTTTTGAAGCCCCTTTAGCCTTGAGGGAGCTATTAGTTAAAATGACACATAGCTCAATTTCTGGACAGTGTTTTAGGTGCTTATCATTACCAATGAGAATAGAATGTATAGTCATTTTTGGAAAGTTCATTGCTATATTACAAGCATTTTCTAATTTTTTTTTTCTCCTTAAACAGAAAAAGGAACCTTCTAAATCCAGTGTCAAGAAAAAATTAACCAAAGTTGCAGAAGCAAAAAAAGTAATGAAGAGAAATTTTAAAGTGAATAAGAAAATAACATTTACTGATGAAGGGGAGGTAAGATTCTATAAATATGTTATTTCTGAACTTCATCTCAGGGATTATGGAGCTTAGCTTTCTTGCTGACTGGCCATTTATTATTTAAAAAAATAAATGAATGTCTCTACAACACACTGGGCGCTTCTTTTCTCTATTCCTGTAGGCCTTGTATCAGCTGTGTGGCTGTGGACAAGGATTTCTTATGCAGTAAACTGAAGTCCTTCCTGGTGATACCAGCAGTGAGATGATGTTCAATTCCATTCTTTATAGAAAAGATTTTTCTCATCAATATTCATCAGAGTGTTCCCTGGGAACAAGCACAAGAATACTAACACAGCTACTTAGCAGAGCATCTTTAGCATGACTCTGTAAACTGCCTGATTTGCACTTCCTCAGTTATATATATGCTGTGTTTGCACGTTCATTGCTGGACTGGCTCTGGAGGGAAGTCTGTCTTTAAGTGATTCCAGATACAGGTGCTTCCTTCTCATTTTGCCTTTATCTGGGCCTGGTTCTAAATACATATGTCTATATTATTCTCATTATTTTAAGAATTAATGTTTTGTTTAATGATCAAATAAATTTAGGATGAAAACTAGTTCCTGGCATAACAAGGTCTTAAGAATTTCATCTCATGACCCCATTCTCACCAGCCTACAAGTTCCCTGACCATCCTAATATACCACACAGTACTGTTATAATCTTATTGCTCCTTCCTTCCTTCCTCCCTCCCTCCCTTCCCTCCCTTCCCTCCCTTCCCTCCCTTCCCTCCCTTCCCTCCCTTCCCTCCCTTCCCTCCCTTCCCTCCCTTCCCTCCCTCCCTCCCTCCCTCCCTCCCTCCCTCCCTCCCTCCCTCCCTCCTTTCCTCCTTCCTTCTTTCCTTTGTTCCTTCCTGGAAATTATTATTGTTGTTATATAACCTCACAGTCTTATTTGATGATTACAACCTTCTTTTGTACTTGTCTACAAAGAAAGATATTTTGCTTTGCTCTTGGGTTCCTAGCAGAGGGCATAGTACCTAACGTGTATTAAACCTTCAGAGTGATGTTTAGAATGAGTAATCTGTTACTCTAGTAAAATATGAGCTTTAAAGAGTTACACCATATATTTCATCATCTTGGAAATGTTGTGGAATACTCTCTATCCACATTAGTATTTTTCTTTTTCATTTTGAAGTTAAAGAACTTGGTGTTATTTTGGGGTATAGGAATGAGCTGAAAAATAACAAGATAACAGTGTAATTCATAGTTGCCAAAAGTGGAAGATGAAGCCAATATAAGTGAAAAAAATATTTGTTATAAAATGACTATTGAGAATTGAGCACCCAAGAAGTGAGCTAGAGGAGAATGCAGTCGTGTCTAATGCCCTTGTAAAATGAGTGCTCTTAGCCTAATGAGCTTAGTGTGCTACAGAGTTCAGCTGCACAGATTACAGTAATTAGCTCCAAGATGATTATAAATCTCTTAACTGTATAATATTGCAATGTGTGCTTGTTGCTAAGAGGAGCTGTTTGTGGCATACATGATACTAAAACTTCTGAACCTCTAAAAGATGGGCTGCAATTTGTTTAACCCACAGAAAGGTATACTATATTAATTTCCTTTTGTGAATCAAGTTGGATGAGAAGTTTGAGTAATTGATGTTATCTCTGCATCACCATGGATTCTTGTCACAGCTTTTGGGGCTCAGTGATTACTGGCATAGTTTGTCATGTCACCACCATTGGCTGCCACAAGAATAAGATTGTGGGAATCTCACCTTGAAGAATGGAGTGGGTAGCAAGGATGTATGAATACCTGTGAGATGTTTAATTGAAAATTTCTGTTTGCCTGAAGATTAGTTAGCATACTTTAAAGTCTGAGGTACAGATTTTAAATGCCCTGACAACCAGTTTTTAAGTTAAAGCTGTTATGTTAATGAGAACTGCTTTATCTGAATTGTTCATATCTTATACTTTTATAGTGTGAGACAACAGAAATTGTTGAATTGCCTCTTTTTTTTAGATCTAGAAGGGGCACAGGTGTCCAGAGAATAATAAATTTACTTAGCATGACACAGTAAACTAGTGACAAAGCCAGAACATTCAGCCAAGTCTCCTTTTGGATCCATCTGCTTGCCCCTTTGTTCCTATCCATAAATTGCTGTGTGGAATCAGGAGCAGCCCGTGAAACCCAAACCAATTTTCTCCTTTATAGTTAGTTATTTCACTCTGCAAGATTAGTTGATACATGACTCATTGACCAGTTTTTATCACATACTGTTATGGGCTCTGAGGATGAATGAGAAAAGCATATAGATAGATACCCATAAGGATATTAGATTTACTAAAAGAAACAGGAATGTAAAATGGCACATTTTGATGAGCTGTGTTAGAGGCATATAGAAGGTACCTGGGTGTAGCTCAAAGGAGATACAGTGTCACCCAGTTTTCTGCTCTGTGCAGATGATTTTGAGCTTAGTTACAGGAGGACAGAGCATTAACAACAGTTTTGGCAAGTGTTTCTATTCTGTAATCACCTTGACCAAATCCTTTCACAAAGTAGTCTTTACTCCTGTGCTCACAGTATAATGGCAGTATTGCCTTGGCTGTGAAATATGAAGGTCCTTTCTGTGGCATCTTACTTTATTATGAAGTTTATGAGAAGGTTTAAGAAATAACTTTTAAATAAAGTTTAAGAAAGTGGGCATATGCCCCATTTTAAATAAGTCCTCAAAAGGCAGCTGTTTCTGTAGACATCGCTTCCACCTTACCCTTTACTTCCCTTTCCTGTCTTCAGCTGGTCCAGCAGTGGCCACAGATTCAGAAAGCAGCTGCAAAAGATGTGGAGGAAGACGATGACGACGACACTGGTGGCATCAACTTAGACAGAGCAAAGGAACGGCTTCAGGAAGAGGACAAATTCGACAAGGAAGAATATAGGAAGAAAATTAAGGCAAAGCATCGGGTAAGCTTTCTGCTTGGAATTACAGCTGTGTTCCTACAAATTTGTCTAACTTCTAATTCATTGGAAGTGCATTGCAAACATTTCTGTGATCATTGTTTTCACTGATACTTTCTTTGTGGCCGATTAGGCACTGATTCCTTTTGTTCTTCTTCTGGAGACTGTATAATACTGAGTTGCTACTGGAATCTGCTTTTGGTTATGTGACTCAGATAGTATTACTGTGTTTTAAAGGTACAGTTTGTGTGCCAATCAATAATGCCCTTATCATTCATGAGTCACATAGTTGAGGGTGGTTACTTAAGGTTATAGTGCATGGTTATGTTTTAGCCCTTTTGATTTGTAAATGTGCGGTATAATGTGTGAATGAAATCACTGACTTCTGACTGTATAATTGAAATTCTTACTTGAGATAATTGGTATTTCACATGTAATTGTAGTAAGTAATACAGAAAGATCCCATATTCTCCATTTCTAGAATTTTGTTATCACTAGAATATTTTAATAAGTGAAACTATACAATACATAGCCTTTTGGATTATTGTTTTTCATTCAGATTTTTTTCCTAGAAATTCACCAGGTTGGTGTATATAAAGACACTTTTTTTTTTGTTTTGTTTTGTTTTTGTTTTTCGAGACAGGGTTTCTCTGTGTAGCTTTGCGCCTCTCCTGGAACTCACTTGGTAGCCCAGGCTGGCCTTGAACTCATAGAGATCCGCCTGGCTCTGCCTCCCGAGTGCTGGGATTAAAGGCGTGCGCCACCACCGCCCGGCAAAGACACTTTCTTTAAAAGATATTTAAAAGGTATTTGTTTGAATGTATGTATGTACACCACATGTGTGATTAGTTCCTGAAGAGGCCAGAAAGGGGTATCAGATATCCTGGAGCTAAGCTACTGTTGTGAGTTGCCAATAGGGTGCTGAGAACCACTCTGAGGAGTAGCAAGTGCTCTTAACTATTGAGCCATCTCCAACCCTCTTGATTATCTTTCTAATACTGAGCAGTGGTCTGTTGTTTGGATGGGCTTGGGATTGATGTATTACTCACTCACTGAAGGACACTGGTGTTGTTTCCAGATTCATTTCACTAGCTAAATTTCTTTCCATATTCGTTGCTTGATGATATCTTGTAAAAGAGAATATTTTTATGTGTATAAGACCCTGGTGACCTTATACCTCAGTTCTCTATTATCTTTGTGGGGGGACATATGTATTATTGTCCTGCCATACTATGTAATTATCCCAAAATGGGATTAACCACTAGATTAATGAGTCAATTAATGAGATAAATCATATGTACATTTTAAAATATCTTTCTGAAGCATGCCTCTAAAGCAGTGAGTGACTTCAGGATGGCACAGTATAATATTTGAGAATCCTTGCCATATTATTAAATTTTATTTAAAAAACTTTTTTATGCCTTTGGATGGGAATATTATTGTTATCACCTTGAAAAGGATTCTTGTAGATTTTTTACTCCTTTTTTACTTTGTAGCTATTTAATGGTCCAGATCACACTCTCCTTTTATGAGAGTTACCATTTTTTAAAGACTTAATACAACTTTACAATATCATGTGACATAACCAAAGAAAAAACTACATATTGAAGATAGCTTCAAATATGGAAATGAGTGTTGCCAAAGCATTTTAGACTTGTGGAACACAAGTTGAAGTGTAATGCTTGAGGTTAAATATTTATGATATTGAGAGAAACAAATATTTCTTGTATTACTTCCTTTAGTACAGTGTGTAAATTGAAATTTGGAATTATTTGTTAAGAGCTTTAGAAGTACTAAGACTATCAACAGCTTGCTTGCCATAGTTTAGTTTTCAGTCTGCTCCGAGTATTTATCTAGGGGTTAGATTGAGTATAAAGAATGTTTTACACTTTATTACTTAAAAATTACAATCAGTTATAAAAGAAGTGTGAAGATTTACATGAAACTAGATTTCTCCTTGCCTTCTCTTTCCTTCCGCATATGGCAACTGTCTATAGAATATCATCACCAAATGATATTAATGATATTACAGTGAATTTAAAGTGGGCTATTTATGCATGTATTTACATTCTAGAATGTAAAGGTAGAATACTGAAAATATATGATCCTCAGTCCTCAGGAAAACTGCTTAAAACATGGTTAGCTGTGAACATGTTTGCATTGAACAAAATGTCTTTTTTCATTTTTTTCCTTGAAATCAAGATGATGAAAATGACCGAATATCCTGGCTCATACCTGTCCTCACCTCTTCCTCTCTCCTGGTCTGCCTACCTTAGTCACCTTTGTTTGTTTGGTGGAGACAAGGTTTCACCAGTTCCGCAGGCTGACTAGAACTTGCAGTGTAGACAGTGTTGTCTTCAATTCCTTATCCTGCTTCAGCCTCCTGAGTGCTGTTGTTACTGCTTTGTATCACCATGCCAGGTTACTGTAACTTTTAATGCATCACTGTTAGGCAAATAGTAGGAAGTCGGATATGTATTTTTAATATTTTTATTCATTTATATTAAATATGAGAATGTTAAACACTAAAAGTTGAAAAGAAAAACCACTGTGAATACGGGATGTGACTGAATAAAATTTATGTGGGAGGAAAAAATGCCAGGAAACTGATCACATGCTTCTGCATTTGGCTTATTTATAAATAGATGTCACTTGTGAGTTTCATAAGTTACAGAATTTTTAAATGCATGTTTAAAATGTCTCAGGATGATAATTTCATGTTAAAAGATAATTCCTTAAGTGAGTTTAGTCTTAATGATTCATTTTGGTGGTAATACTTCCTGTTATGAATTAGTGGCTGCTTTTGGGGGCTGGAGAGATGGCTCAACAGTTTAGAATACTTACTGCTTTTGCAGAGAAATGAGTTTGATTTCGAGAACCCAGAATCCATATGGTGGCTCACAACCATCTGTAATTCTTTTCCAAAACACCTGCTGGCCTTTGCTGCAGTTTTGAATGTCCTGCACATTTTTGAATGTCCTCAACCATTGTTATGTAGGTCTCAGGTCTTTATGTTGGTCCAGTTATTCATTCTCAGAATGTTCTAATACACCTGTCTTTGACTCATGCTTTTGTCTACTCACCACTGGAAGCTATAAAATTCCATCTGTGACAGAGGTATTCCTTTTAAAAAAGTTTTAGAAAACAGATATAAAGATCTTTTCATTTGAGTTTTTGTGACTAGGTTTTATTATATTTTAATTTGTATTTAAAAATTAAAAAGAAAGGCTATTTTGTCTGTATGTATGTCTGTGAACCATGTGTGTGCAGTGCTGATGAAGGCCAGAAGCCTGCATTGGACCCTTTGGAACTGGAGTTACAGATGTTTGTGAGCCACCATGCTGGTGCTGGTAACTGAATTGAGGTCCTTCGGAAGATCATCAGTTGCCCTTAACAACTGAACTATCTATCCAGTCCCCAGTTGTATTTTGATATGAATAGTTTTACATATTTAGAGGCACAGCATGATGTTTTGCTGTATGTATACATTATAGAATGATGAAATTTGGCTAACATATCAGTCATTTTTTAAGTTACTATTTCTTTGTGGTATGAACATTCAGAATCCTTGCTATTAGCTACTTTGAATATATAGGACAGTTTTTTTTTGCTATAGCCACCACTCTTTGCAAAAGATCCCTAGAACTTATTATGTCGGGATGAAATTTTGTTTCCTTTAACCAAGAGACCTCCCTCATTCCAAAGGTAATCATCATTCTGTTTTATAGTTCTGTCAGTTTAGTTTTCTTGGATTCCACACCAGTGATACTACTTTTCTGTGCATGCCTTATTCACTTATTTTGGTGTCATCATGTTGTCACAAATGTCAGAATGGCCTGCTTTTTGAAGTCTGATTAATATTCCATTCTTTACACGCATTTAAAAAATCCATTTGTCCATTGATGTCACTTTGTATGAGTATTAAGATTTTAATTTTTTATTACGTGTAAAAGGAATATAATATGATAGTGTCATTGCGAGTATAGCAGAGCTGCTTCTGTGCAGAAACATATAACTAAACCCGGCCTTCTGGTGCCTTCTCTGTTATTTAGGTTATTTAGCAGTTTTATTTTATTTTATTTTTTATGAGTTTGCACTGAAATTTTAAGCACCATTTTATTTCTGAGACTTACTGGTAGCTGTGGTCAATAAGCTTATTACTTTTCTCTATAGAAAATCTTGAAATGTTCATTAGAAATAAAGATACAGCAAAAGTTATACTCTGGCACAGAGACAAAAGGTCTTGTGATATCAGTCAAAGCTGTTCTTACTGTAATGGGCTGGACATTTGCTCTGTGCTGTGATGCCTTTTTAGCTCTGCAAAATTATTTATGTTTTGCTTGATCTCTGCTGTCACTGCTGGTGATATAGAGAAATGACCTTAGAGAAGGTCTCTCATTCTCATGGAGTTCTCTGTGAAAGCTTTATTCATTTTAGATTGTGATTTAAATAGGGCAATCATGTCAAGAAATGAGTCTGGACTGCTTGTGACAGTGGTGCAAGCCTGACTCTGTTTCCACCTAGTTATGAACATTAGAAAAATATGGAAAAATTAAGGGGACATTGTAGAATTGTTGTTGATACAGAACTAATTTGATATTGACTCTCAGTGACTTCATTTTAAACCATATGTAATAGGTCAAAAAAATAGAGAGATTATAATGAGCCGTCTTAGAAATAGTACCAAGACTATCAACAGTAGCACGTGGCAGTTAGTTAACTGGGCTCTGTGTTAAATGCTTTATATATACTCTGCCATTGTATGCTCACAATTAACTTCTGAAATAAGAAGGCCAGACTCATTCTAGAGTATAAAATTAAGACTTAGAAGAGTCAAGTGATGTGTACAAGTTCTTACATCTTAATAAATGGAGGCTTTACTAAGGTCCCCACAACTTCTTGACCTTGAGCTGTTTAGCTTAAACCATGAAACATTTTCTTACACAGAAGGGCAGTTCTGAAGCAGTAAATAAAAATTTAATAAATGATAGAAGTGAGTGTTGGGT